TCCAACTTTCTGCCCACCTCAATTTTCTGCTAGAAATTACCTTCACATCAGGTGTTGGTCTCCCCTTCCGTTCTCTTCCCTTCCCTCACCTTCCTCTCCCCTTCCTTCCCTTCCTTTCCCTTCCCCTTTCTTCTTCCTCCTGCCCCTACCACTTCCCCTTTTCTGACAGGATCTCACTATGTTTTTTGCCTGGACTGGCCTTGCTCAACCTCTTGAGTACCTGTGACCACAGACACCACCATGGCCAACTAGCCATTGGCATTTCAAATGAGTTCTTAGTCTAATTATTTTTTTCCCATGAGTTTGTCTCCTTTTCTTTTCTTTCTTCTTCTTTTTTTTTAGTGAAAGTGATAGTAAAATGAGAATGACCTCCTTTTCATTCTTTGAAGCCCATTTTTCTAACTAAGTTAATAAAAAAAACTTGACACCATTACAGTTTTTTATCAGACTTTGTAATCCTGGACGTATTATTTAATGCTCTTTGCTACACCACTTTCCTCATCTGAAATATCCAGAGTTAATCACATATCAAAGTGTTTACATCTGTGCCTGTCATATGGTCAATCTTGTAGAAGATAGGTTTTCCACACGTGATTTATTATAATATCCAACTATTTTCTGTTTACTATGTATATATTCATAAAATATGGACCATTCTAAAATATAGAATACATTCTAAGCTTTCCGTATTAGACAAATGTTTTTTATATTTGTTTTCTTTTAGTTCATGGGTCCCACATTGGAGCCAACATTGGAAATGGTGGTATTACAAAGACATTCCAGAGCCAAGGTGGCATATGCCTGTAATCCCAACACTTGGGAGGCTGAGGCAGGAAGATCATGAATTCAAGGCCATCTGAGCTACACAGTAAATTTGAGGGCCACCTTGGCTATATAGTAAGACTCTATCTCAAAAAAACAAAGGCTGGGGTTGTAGCTCAGTGGTAGAGTGCTTGCTTAGCATGTGCAAGGCCCTGGGTTCAATCCCTAACAAACTCTGGGAAAAAAAAACTAAAAACAATGTGAAACAAGTGGTATTCATCTATAATCCTAGATATTCAGAAGATTGAGGCAGGAGGATCAGAGTTCAAGGTCAGCCTGGACTCTGCAGCCCATCTCATAAAAAGAAGAAAACTTGTCAGATAATAACAGCAAACACAGCCATTCTGGCCCTGCACTGTCCAACAGGACTTGGCGAAGAACGGAGATCACTTATACATGTGCTGTCCAGTGAGCATTTGGAATGAGGCCAGTGTGACTGAAGAACTAAATTTTTTATAACAGCTTTATTGAGATGTAATTGTAGCTCAATATATACCATATAAATCACCCACATAAGGTGTACAGTTCTCTCGATTTTAATATATTCATGGTTATGCAACCATCATCATAATTAATTTTCAAATGTTTTCAACACATCCAAAAACTGTCAATCCCCATTTCCCCCAAACACTGCCAGCCCTTGGCAACCACTGGTTTGCATCCTGTGTATTTGCCAGCTCTGGAGATTTTACACAAATGGGATCATACAACATGTGGCCTTTTGTGTCTGGCTTCTTAGGATGCACTTTCAAGATTGGTTCATGTTGTAGCATGTCTAAGTTCTTCGTTCCTTTTCATTGCTTAATTACCTATTGTGCTGATACACTGTTCACAAATTGATGGATATTTATTCATTCACCAGTTGATGGACATTGGGCTATGAATAGGCTACTGTGGATAGTGAATAATGACGTTCATTGTTTTAGGGTATGATGGGTAATTATAAACACTGCTGCTATTAATATTCATGTACAAGTTTTTGGGTTTCACACATTTTTATTTTTCTTGAGCACATACCTTGGAATGGAATTGCTGGGTCATGTAATAAATGTGTGTAATGTTTTCAGGAACTGCCGAACAGTTTTCCAAGGTGTCTGCACAATTTACTTTCCTATGCAGTATATGAAGAATCTAAGTTCTCCACATACTCACCAACTCTTGCTATTATTTGTATTTTTTACAACAGCTATCCTAGTTGGTGTGAAATGATACTTCGTGGTGGCTTTGAATTTGTTTTTTGTCTTTTTATTGTTGAGTCGTAAGAGTTCTTTCTATGTCCCGGACATAAGTTTCTTATCAGATATGTAATGTACAAATATTTTCCCATTCTTCAGGGTGTTTTCACTTTTTTGGTGGTGTCATTTGCAGCACAAACATTTCTGATTTTGTTGAAGTCCAATCCAACCACTGCTTTCTTTTGACACTGTGCTTTTGCTTTCATGTCTTAGAAATCATTGCCAAAATCCAAGGTCAGAAAGATTTGCTGCTGTCTTTTATCCTAAGAGTTGTATAAGTTTTGGTTCTATGATCCAGTTTCATTAATTTTCTATTGTGGTATATATAAAATATAATTTATATAATTATATAAACGTTGCCATTTTAGTCACTTAAGTGTACAGTCCAGGAGCATTAATTACACTGAGCATGTTGTGTGACAACATCAGTGTTTCCAAAATGGTTTCATCACCTCAAACTGAAACTCTGTGCTCATTAACAGTATCTCCTCCTTCTCTCCCTCCCTAGCCCCTGGTAAGAACTATATTTTGGTTATATTTTATTTTAATTAACTTAAATGTAAGCAACTAAATGCAGCTAGAGGCTACCATATTGGACTGCACAGCTGAAATCCCACCAGTATCGCCCTCCTAGGTGGCTTGCTACTATTGTTGCCAATCTGGCATTGCATTTATTATTATTCCATTTTTTGTCACCCATGATCTGTTCCCTCATAAAAGTTCCCCATTCCTTTAAGAGCACAATGCATGCATTGCATTTCCAGTTCCAGTGGCTACCTATAACAACTGACATAGAATTTCAAACTCTTCTCTATGGCTTGCATTAATTTGTCCCTCTGACTGGCTAAGTGCCCTCTTTTTCCTTCTCTCAGTACTTCCAGCCAAACTGATCTTCATGGCAGACTTTGAGCTCATCACATGCTGTCTGCATTCAGACTCTTAGCAATTTCCCTTCTCCTTCCAGAACCCTCTCACTCTTGAAAGTCATTTAACTCACTTCCCCCAACCAGATCTCACCTTCCTATGTGAAATACTAATCCCTGTCACTCTTTCTATTACTCTACCTTATCCTGTTTCCTTTGCTATCATTCAAGCTCCATGGAGACAGAGACCCTCTCTTTCCAGACCCCATGATACCTGGCATAGAGTAGATTTGAGTACCTAAGAGAATAATTCTACTCCTTTCACAGTGTAAACTGTGATGGACTCAAAGAAGCAATCTGCTGTCTAGTCTTAAGAGTTTATTGAGGCATGCCTTTAAAAGTGTTGCATTTATCAAAACAGTCTTAGGGCCAGTTACTGAAAAGCAAACCCTCATAGTTTTGAATAGCTGTTTGCAAGTACAGAGTGAGTATCCTTATACTTGGGACCAGAAATGTTTCATATTTCAGAGGGTTTTTTTTATTTTGAAATATTTGCTATGCAATATTCAGGTTAAACATCTCTAATCCAAAATCTTAAATGCTGCATTTGGGTTTAGGAGCATTTTGGATTTCAGATTTTGAGATTAGGGATCCTCACCCTGTACATCAGTTTGTTGTCTTGCTGAGGTTAATTTAGTCTTTCCCTTTTTAAAGTTTTTCTCTTCATCCCCTTTTAGTGAAGTCCTTCCTCAATGTCCCATGTCTCTTTACCACCTCTCTGCTAAGCTTTGAGATCAACCCCCTATTTTTTGGCAGTATTGAGGTTTGAATTCAGGGCTTTGCACTTGCCATGCAGTTGTTTTACAGCTTGAGCCAAAGCTCTGGCAAGATCATTCCTTTTAAGGTGACCATGTCTCTTTCTGATCTCCTACACAATTCTCACATTCCCACTAGAAATCTCTCGGCTCGGGGCTGTGCTTAACACAGGCCCGATGCCACTTTGTAGGTTAATGTAGTACTAGCCAAAATTGACCTCTCTGGACAAGGAGCAATCTGTGCCTGAGAGCTGGACCAATGACACACCACTATAGATTCCACCCTGACTCATCTTGATTATCGCACCTTTTGGGGGAAATGAATAGATCTTGATTCTTTAATAAGGGTGGAATTCTTAAAGAAATCAATGTATGAAAGCAGCTACTCAGCTGGAAATTTGAATGCAAAATTCCTTGTATATCTCGCCTGTGACCACAGATCTGGATTTGAGTGAAAAGGAGAGTAAGAAGAGGTTAGCAGTCTTATTCAAGGAAATCATTCCTGATCTTAAAATAGGTTTTCACTTCTACAGGCAAGAACCAAATGTATTAAGCAGGTCTAGCTGATGTGAATTAAACAGTTGTACTTGGATTCTGTTTTAGTGTTTGTGACATTCTTTGTCATAGCCATCCTTGTAAAGAAAAAAAAAAAAGGAAAGTATATGAAAACTGAACCTTAAAATCCTCATTTTTAAAAATATCTCTAGCTAGGTTGCTTGCATCTCCCAATTGCTAGACCCCAGAAGTTCATCGGTGCAAATGAGAACAAGAGTAATGACTATCCCCCCCCAAACAGAGTTCAGTTTAATTTTGTATTCATGTAATTATCTCCTTTTATTGATGCACAATTCCAGCTGAGCAAAAATTAAATGTGAATAGTAAATGAAAAACTAAAGAAGTTCCAGTGCTGGTACTTTATGAAGAGAGATCAGTATGTTCTTATTTCTGTCATTTTTCTTCTTTTTAAAGTCAGACAAAAAGATTTTCATCTTCATAAAAATGTAAATTTCCGTGCAGGTCAAATGGTTGGTTGTTTTGTTTTGTTGGAAATCTGATTTGGTTTGTTCACTTCATTGGAAGAGAATATAACAGGAAAAAAACAGTAGACTTACAGAGTCAAAGGGCCTTAAGACTCACAGAAGATTCTATTTAAAAATGCCCTCACAGTTTGATAGATGTTTCTAAAGTTGCTTTTTTGTCTTCTGAATAAAGTAGATTGCTGTGTCAGCTTCCTAGAAATTAATAGCAACTTCTTTGTTTTTCAGACACTCCATTGGCCAGTGGTCATGCCACAGACTATCTGTTTGTTGGAAATATTGTTTACACGGTAGGTTTATCTATTTATGGAGTCATTCTTAAATGGCTTGCATGTGCATTATAATTATCTAATCCCTGTATGTAAGGCTTTCCTCATTATAATGATTTATTGCAAATCTTTACTTATTACAGATTCCTTAAAGTTCAGAATGCTTACATGAGTGTTGACCAAAGATTAGGCAGAGTCAGGGTAATGAGTGGATTTCCCACCCTTCAAATGACCATTTACATGCACTTGTAAAAGCAGAGAACACCCATGATGGTGGTTTTGTCCCAAATCACCCAAGGAAGACCAAATCAATTGTTTGTGGAAAGGTACTCACTAGAATGAGGCCATTTCTTGAAACAATTCTTTCCCCTACAGAGTTGGATATGGAGATGGCTCTTGGGAAGCATAGCCTTGGAGAAACTCTGGGGAGGAGGGTAACAGAGCTTCTCCTAGGAAGTGAGAGGCACACATTGAAAAGGGGACACTTTCTAAACTCCTCTTTCTTTTCACAGTACGTGGTGGTTACAGTTTGTCTGAAAGCTGGTTTGGAGACTACAGCTTGGACAAAAGTGAGTTTTCTCTGGAATTATTTCCCTCTCCCATAGAGATATTTTAATGCTATGATTTCTTTTTGATCCTTCAAAAAAAATCAATAATGTCTAGTTATCCTATTTTAAATTTTGCACATAAAAATTGTAGTTTGATTTTTGTCAGGGATATTTATAATATAGCTGTTTCTGGTGCTTCATTTGCTTGGCACCTAATACAGCTCAAGATTATTGATAGTCACCTAACTTCAAATGAATATGTTTACTGTGAAATATACACACACATACAGAAAATAAAGAAAGACAAAAAGAACATTTTATATTTCCGTGTAAGTTTACTGCCAAGAAATAATTATTCTGTTGTGTTACCTTTCATACTGTATTCTGTGTGTACATTTTTTACTAAGATGATGTAGTACCTAGAATACAGAGTCTTGTAAATTTTTTCCTAAAAATACATCAGAACATGTCTTATTCCTTAAAATGTACTTCTATAAAATAATGGTTCATGATTAAAGAGTATGACATTTCATAGCTGTCCCACATTGATTTTATTAGCTCACTATTTTAGGTGTTTTGGTTATTTCCAGGATTTGGGGATTTTAACCAGTGCTTCATTGTTGTCTCTCTGGGCATGTCACGGCCTGGTTGCTGCTTTGCTGAAGAAGAGAGTGGGGTGGAAGGTCACTGTGGAATCGAGGGAGGCGCGAGGTGATGGGGACTTAGGATAGAATGTTGGAGAGGAGGTAGTGAGGTTCTGAACAGATTCTGGAAACACTTGTTTAACAGCAGTAACAACAACAAAAAAAACAACCAGAATTTGCTGGTGGGTTGGATTGTGGGGTATAGAGGAAAGATAGAAGTCAAGGATCATATTAAGAGCATGAAGGAGAAAAATTAAAAACTCAGTAAATACTTAAACAGGCATTAAAATGTAATGTCCAAATTGACTCCATAGAAGTAGAGTAGAACAGTGGTTGCCAGAGCCTAGGAAGAGTAGGGGGAAGACGGGAATGGTTAGAGGATGCGCAGGGACATGGTGCAGTTTGATATAAGCAATCATTTAATATTCTATAGGAAGTAAAGTAACTGTGGTTAACAATTGTAGATTTCAAAACAACTAGAAGAAAGGATTTTGAATGTTCCCCACACAGAGAAATGATATGTTTATGGTGGTAGATATGCCAGTTACCCTTATCTAATCATTATACATTATTTACATGTGTTGGAATATCACACCACACTCTGTAATATGTAGAATTATATGCCAATTAAAATGTATTAAGTGAAGTTTTTTTTAAATTTAAAAAGATATAATATCCATTCCAGATTTTTAAAAAAACTCTTGTAAAATGAATAGAACAATTGAAGTCTCAAAGGGATAAATAAAAACATCATGTTCCTTTTGTCTGTTCCATCATTCTCACTGGATCAAAAAGCCCTTGTTTTATACAGCCCCAAGGTGGAGCAGACACTGGAGCTGAGCTAAACTGCCTCTGCTCTGGCTAGGGCATGGGTCTTAGAGGAAGGTCAGCTAGGATGCAAAGCACTTTTATCTTCAGGATAGTCTGGGTGTGACCCGCAGTGACTGGAATTCATCACTAAGAATCTGGAGATGGGGGTTAGAAAGACATAACTCCCCATTGACTAGGGAGTGGTCACAATCTCTCCATCAGGAAAGATAGTTTAGATGCAGGCTTCCTGCAACAAGTGGGCTGGGGAGGGGTCTCCCCAGGCAGCAGAGGTGCCCGGTGTCTGAGCATCTGTTTCTTCTGCAGTTTAGTCACCTGGCCGTCTGGGGAAGCATGCTGATCTGGCTGGTGTTTTTTGGCGTCTATTCAACCATATGGCCCACCATCCCCATTGCTCCTGACATGAAAGGGCAGGTCAGTACTACAAATCATATGTGGGTCTCTGTGTCTTTTGACAGTGGTATTTGTGCACATAAGAGTGTGCAAGCTTTCTGCGTCTTGTGACAGTGAACATCAGGAAAGGCCGTTGTTACCTGCTTCCATCAAAACTTAGCAGAAAAATCAACAAATCAAAGTACCTTAAAGAGATTGTCCAGTCCACAGAAATGGCATTTGAAAATTTTTAGTTTTACATTAAATCTTCTGACTTACCTAGCATGTCCACATTTCTTTAATAAATTATGTATTAATTACACATAGCACTGATATGTACAGTTTGTGTTTCTTGGAAAACCAGAGCTGTTTTGAATCATTCATAGTCCAATGATTCTGTTGGTTATAGGCTTAAAGTTAAATGCATAATTAACCGCCTAATTGGTAATGGGAAGATAAACCTAATAAATCCAGAAAGCAGATTATCAATGAACCAGAACCTCTCGCTGTTCATCTCTTTGAGCTAGAGGGGTGGAGACTGGAGACCTTTACATCATTTGACTGTTCTCTGCTTTTTAATGTAATCTTTGTCCAGTGTCTAAGACTGAGCTTCCAACAATAACCAACTGGATTATAGAACCCCACGGCATCTGGTAGTGGGGAAGGAACTTGGCAAGCCTGTGCTTCAAACCTCCTCAATTCACAAACAAAGCTGTGCAGGTCCAGATCCTCCAGGCCACCCCATAGTGCCCATTCTGCAATTACCCACAGCCAGCACTGTCCTTAGACCCTGACTTTGGGGCCTCTGTGGTGGGCCTCCCCTGCTAGATGTGCTCCTCTTTGTGAATGAAGCATCCCTGTGAGCCAAGCCAGTCTACTGCAGGTTCATTTACTGGGTTCCCAGGACTCTGTGTTTCCTTCCTAAATAGCCAAAAGCCTGCTGCCCAGCCCTGCCTGGGCATATCTCCAGATCCAGGCCAGCATACACAACCCTGAGTCTCAATCAGCAATGTATGTTTGTGCTGGTCTGCCTACCTGTGTTTACAGGAGGATTCTCTGTGCTGAGGCACAGAGCCAGGCCTGGGAGGAGAGGAACTGTGGGTCAGCAGCTTCCATTATATTCCTGGCCCCGGAGTACATGGTTTAGGGGTAGGCTGTGCATACCTGGCCACTGTCTCTGCACCACTCAGCAGAAATCAACCCAAATTCCTGGGTCTGCCTAAGTCTAGATCCTTCACAGGAGCTGTTTCACATGAGGTAGCCCAGGGGTGGCCTGGCTCACCTTTTCATTTGGTAAACCCGTCAGCTAATACCTCCAAGTGTTCAGGCTCTGCACGAGAATGGGAGCCAGGCAGGCTGGTCCTGTGCTGCTGAAGCAGGCTTGCATGACATTAGCTGCGTCTTTGTTGTCTGTAAGGAAAGGGACAAACACAGCATGCTTTCAGTTGTCTCCAAGTCTAGGAGGTAGAGGAAATTGCAGGGCATTGATTGAATAAACCCGCAAGATTGCTGTCTACCAAAATGAGCATTTCCCAACAAAGATACTTTGTGCATTTAAAGAAATCAATTCAACTGTGAAGCAATTTGATTTGTCACCACAAAGCAAACCAAGAAGTTTCCAGTGTGTGTATTTAGTAAAGCACAGAGGATTAGAGATCTGCTTTGGTGTTTGCCTTCTGGGTAAGGGCAGGTTGCTTTGATTTCACTTGGAGAATTTGACAGAACAATAAATGGGGCTGCCAGCTGACAGGATGGGGTCAGTTGGTGTATGACTGGCTGGCAAAGCCCTTGGAAAGCCCCTATGTGTCATGTTGTGTCCTGCTCTAGCAAGTCCTCTCGGTGCACACTCCTTTGAGTACTTCTACTTCCAGTGGGCTGAAGGTTGCTGGTTGCAGACACATACTCCCATCGAGGGGTTGACTTTCAAATTTCAGAGGAGCCAAGCTCGTCACACAGCCCCTGAGGCACTCACATTCCTGCAGGAGGCCCGCAAGCTTGCCAGTCTGTGTGGCTTCAAGGTTTACCTTAATGGTGATACTTACATATGACCAGGGGCTGTATTTTGACACCAACTGACCACATACGTTTATGGGTAGTCCCTTGATATGGAATGGTTTTGTGACTTTAGAGCCATCAGGGTTTCTATACATTCTTCCCCCGCCCCCCATGTTTAAGCAAAGAGGAATTGCCTGACAATGTTTCTCCCAAAATGTATGCCCACCATTAAGTGATGCCTGGCTGTCTCTGTGGACTTTTCCAGTAGAAATTTAGTGAGTTCTTAACCATACAAGATCAAGGAAGTAATCCTTTTAAATTACTTTTCACTCTTGTATTAAAACCTTATATTTTACTTAAACAATGACATTTTGATGTTTTTGTTGGTTGCGTGATTTCATTAGGAGGCAAGTGATGTTTCTTTAGCACAATGTAGCTGACAAGACTGCGGTTTCCATAGGCATCAAGCGGGAGGTTAACAGAGTTTTCATCATTGAAAGAGCTGTTTCTTATCTCTAGTCTTGTGCTGCAGAGCTCTAAACCGGAGGGATATGAGAAAACAATACACCATAGCCAATGTCAGTACTTGCTGTCTGCCACTTGATTCTTTGAAAAGTGGCAGGGAACTATTAAAGATTTCTTAACATTTTTGGAGTATCACTTGGGTGGAGATTGATAAGACTAGCCTAAAGTCTTTGAAAGGGTTTCTGCTGTCCCAGGAGGAACCAAATGTGTCATAAAGAGAGTCAGTGACTAGGCACAGTTGTAGTCAGTAAAAGAAGGAAAACCTGCCCAAGTCAGTCTTCCCTTGAGCTGTAGGCTGGCAGATGCCTAGGAGTGAGGGACATTCTGGCAAAGACTGCTTTTTAAAAATTACTTTGCTAAAGCTGGCTACTGGTGGCTCATGCCTGTAACCCTAGCTATACCGGAGACAGAGATCAGAAGGATCGAGGTTTGAAGCCAGCTCGGGCAAATGGTTCATAAGACCCTATCTCAAAAAACCCAACAAAAAAATTACCACACTAAAGTCTTCTAATGATTTTTGTATCAACCATTTTTTTGTAGTTGACTCTGCAATAGGTTTTTGGCAAATGGTCGTGGTCCTTTGAAGCTCTAGAATTAAACGGGTGTCTAATGGCAATGGGCATTTCTCACCCCAGAACCAGAGGCAGATTTGACACATAGTAGTCTGTCTGTTCATAACATCTCCCACTGCTGAAAAGATGCCTTGTTTCCGCCAGCATTTCCTAACCTAACGTGATTAAACATTTTTTTGTCTAGTCCTTTATATTTGGCATTTTTTCTCCTGCAGAGAAGTCAGGTCTTCCCTTGAGGGCATAGGAAAGGAAGGGTATAGAATTAAAGAGTTGTTCTCCACTGTCAAAAACTTTTTATCTTCCCTATGGCACCTCATGATATGGTATGTGAAACCCCACCAGACAGCCAGGAAGTCACAGCGGAAGCTTTTGAAATCAAAGAAGTCATCTACATGCTTCCTCTTCTGAAAATATGCAGTAATGAGGGAATTTTAAAGGTCAACTACTTTTTTGTTGTTGTTGGTTTTGTTTGTTTGTTTGTTTTCCTTCCAGGCCTACGCTTGTATTAGAAACTCGGCTTGTGTCTGTCCTAGTTAATGATGAGGTCTTCAGCTGTGGAAAATGGGTGATGATGCTTTTCCCTAGGGGACCATGTGTGTCTTTCCCTCAGAAGCATAACTGCAGTGTAAACCTCACCTCTCCATAATGGCTTAAATGTGTCACAGTAGAAAATAACGTTCCTCTGGCTCACTGCCTTCCACCTGCCTCTTACTGATGTGGAGCTTCCAATTAGAAAGATGAGGAAAAGTGGGCTGAAAACCAGGACCCATGCTTCTGTTCTCCTCCTGCATTTCCCAGGGCTCTACTTCAGGAGTGTGTGAGGGGAGGCTGTCAGACTTCACCTCTGCTCAAAAGTGAGCTCCTGATCCAGTGAGAGTCATGGAGCCCTCTACAAGTCTCCTAACTTGCGCCAACATCTTTGTCAGCAAAGTCAGAATAAGACCACTGCAGGGGATTGCGGAGATGACTGAGGGAAATCTTTTTCCTATAGGGAGGGGTTATTTTTGAAATATTGCTGCAAGTGAAACTCGTAACTCTTTTGGGCAAAGAATTACAACATTTGAAAGGTTCTAGATAGATTGTTTCTCAGTCAGGTCCATTGACCACTTGTATCAGAATTATCTGGGTTTCTTGTTAAAATGACAGTTCCCCGCCCCAAAAAAAACATGTGCATGCACACACACACAGAATCAGAATCTCTGGGTGTGAAGATTTGATGCCTGCATTTTAAGAAATGTACGGATTCTTCCCTTTAAGGAGTGGAGATGACTGCACTAAAGTATTATTCCATTACAGCATTTCACCTTTGCTGAATGTGATAGAAGACAGTCTACTGGAAATATCCAAAACGGATCAAATTCTCATGAGCAGGGGTTATGTCAGACACGCCACATCGAGCCACGAGCACCTTAAGGCAGCTAGCTTTCTAAATAGGGAATTGCACCAAAGACATTCCATGGCTCACCATGGAAAAATACTCACCAACTTCAGTGCTTTTCCTTTAAAGTTCTTTTCATTGCTAGTAAAAGGGGGGAAAGCCCTCTCACTTCAAAGCTTACAAACTACTAACTCTGGCTCCAGTGCCAAGTGCCAGGCCTCAGCCAGTTTCTAGCATATGGTAGGCTTAGGGTTTTTTAATCCTAAACACAGGAATGGGTTTCCTTTTGAGATTTATATATTCCCTTGAACACACAGTACACAACCCAAGGACTAAACACAAACAGGGAGAAACAGCTGTCCTTTTGCCATCACTGAGTCAAAGTCATACATAATTCTTCTTCCCCAAGAAATTGTCTCTCATGGATTTCACAGCAGTCTGATTACAGTCTGGGGGATATCCACATGCACTATGTAGAGAGCAAGCTCCAGGAGGCAAGCTGAGAAGTGAACAAATGGCACAGAGGTTGCCTGCCTAGCTGCAAGTGCATGTGTGCATAGGATGAGTTGAATGGGTCAGGGAGGACTGTTCACCAGGCGTGTTGGTTGTCTCCAACATCTGTCCTCTTGTGCCTTTTCCTGGGTACCCAGTTTGTCTTCACTTATGTATTGACTTGTTGAAGAAGCCCGGTACCTTGGGGAGCCATTTCCACCCACGTAACTACACAGGCAAGCTTAATCCCACCCTCTCTGATGCAGGAGTGATTTAGAGCCCTAAAAAGGACACCAGGAGACATTTTCTGGGCTTTCTGGGATTAAAATCTTAGAAATCCTTCAATGATACAGCCTTATCTTCTAAATGGTGTGGTTGCAACTGCAACCCTGCTCTTGGTTTGATCTTGAGTGTCCTCTAAATGGTCATGGTTGCCAGCTTGTCATGCTGTTGAGCTCCAAAGGCTCCTGCCCGTAATGAGTGGGGCTACTGGGGGGTCTTTGGGTTCCTGGGGGACTTGTCCTTAAAGAGAATTGTGGGGCTCTAGCCCCTTCCTCCTCCTCTTTTTTGCTTTGCCCTGCATTTCCTCCTGAAGCGCTGCCTTGCTACAGGCTCAAAGCATCATGGCCAACTGATTACCAACTGCAACTTCCCAAACTGTGAGCCCAAACAACCTTGTCTCTTTTTAAGTTGATTGTCTTAGCTTTTTATTATAGTGACAGAAGGCTGACTAACACAGACTCCAAGAGTAGTTCAGCCACCAGGAGAAAAAATACCTCTCCGAATCCTACTGCTGGTGTGAAAGAAGGACTAGACAGACAAAAAATCAAAAACAAAAACCGAAGTTTCCAGTGCAGTTTCTGGAGGTACCAGGTGATGCTGCCCTTCAAGTCCACTCAGGTCTGGCTGCACTGGGAGCCATCCATGTGTGTGCCATCCGCCTTCAGGCGCCCACCACGTGAAGGAATGATTTCTTCACCCAACACTGTGTCAGTTGTAATGACAAGTACACGGTCAACCAAGGAAACGGATGGTTTTTTAAAGAGGCGTAAAGTTTTAGCATAGCATATTTTACTGTTTCACTACACCAGAAGTTGTAGATTCACATAAGTCATGTGAATCAGTGTGTAATTATTAGATGTGGGAGGTAATAGCACCCCAGAAACACCACTATGACTACCTGGAGCTTATTGGAATTATCTTCGATTGAATGAAATCAGCCCTGTTTTCCTGGAATACAGGATTTCAGAAGCCTGTGGCCAGCTAGTGAGGCCTGGCCAGCCTCATACAATAGAAAATCCATCTGCAGAGACGTGCTTCTTGGTTTGAAACAGCATCCTAGCATCTTTGTACAGTTTTCTCGAGTATTGAACTTTGCCAAATAATTTGTTGATGTCCAGTTTACATTTTGGGTTTTTTATTCTTGGCTTTTTTTGTGTGTTGTTTTGATGAGACTGGGATTTGAGCTCAGAGCTTTGTGCTTGCAAAGCAGCAGCTTTTCCTCATGAGCCACACCTCCAGTGCTCTGGTCATTTTGGAGGTGAGGTTCTCACAAACTGTATTCCCAGCCTGGCCTTTAACCTCGAGCCTCCTGATCTCACCATCTTCTATGTAGCTAGAATTACAGGCATGGGCCACTGTGCCCCGCTTGGTTTTTAAACTTGCACATCTGTGGAATAGGATGACTGACTCACAAGCTGTACCTGTGGATAACATTACTATCTAAGTGAACAGCAATACACGCAGAATTCAGAGAGTTAAGACTTCCTGGTTGCTCATGTGCCTTTGTTCTTGTCACTGGCATCCCAGGAGTGTCCCGCGGGAAGAGCTGTCCAACCCCCCATACGCACATCAATCCTTGTCTGACCAGCCACTGCCACCACAATGAAAAAGATGATAAAAAAGAACCATCACAAGCTTTCACTTACCAGTGCTTGCTAGATGGGTTCTCCGAGTTTAAATATTGGGCTCAAAAAATTCAGGCATCCCTCCAACATCTCCATTGAAAACTGGCTCTCACGGCTGTATACAGAATGCCAAGTTGTTTTTGCTTTTCTCCTCTGGGATAAGACACGAAGGAAAAGTC